CTATGTCTGGAGTTACATGCTGCCTGAGGTTCCCTGGACAGCTCAACTCTGACTTGCGCAAACTTGCCGTAAACTTGATCCCCTTCCCGCGTCTTCACTTTTTCATGGTGGGCTTTGCTCCTCTTACTTCACGAGGTTCTCAGCAGTACAGAGCCCTGACTGTTCCAGAGCTCACCCAGCAAATGTGGGATTCCAAGAACATGATGTGTGCTGCTGATCCACGACATGGACGTTATCTAACAGCATCAGCAATGTTCCGTGGTAAGATGAGCACCAAGGAAGTTGATGATCAGATGATGAATGTGCAGAACAAGAACTCTTCCTACTTTGTTGAGTGGATACCCAACAATGTGAAGTCAACAGTTTGTGACATCCCACCAACTGGGCTGAAGATGGCATCAACTTTCATCGGGAACTCTACATCCATCCAGGAGATGTTCAGGAGGGTGAGTGAGCAATTCACTGCCATGTTTAGGAGGAAGGCTTTCTTGCATTGGTACACAGGCGAAGGTATGGACGAGATGGAGTTCACTGAGGCTGAGAGTAACATGAACGATCTGGTTTCTGAGTACCAGCAGTATCAAGATGCAACAGCCGATGAGGAGGAATACGAGGATGAGCAAGGGGAGTATGAGGAGGAAATGTAATTTCTATCAAGCAGTAGTTTCCTTTGAATATCAACATTCCAGTTAGTGTTTTATGTAGTATGTGAATGAATTTCTGGTTGAGTGTTTGTGGGACAAGTTTCAATATCAACTTCCAGTTGCTGCTTTTTGCTGTAACTTTTGCTTATTTCAACATTATGGATTTGTGGTAGTGATATTTGCTTTCTAGCAACTTTGGTCTTTACTCATCTCTCATTAGTAGTATACTAGTATTGTTTGGTGTTTTTACAACTTCACTATACTCTCTCTATTGTCGGAAGGCCCATCCTCTCTCTTTTGTTGTTAAAGTTTAGTGTATGAGCTTTCATTTCTCTTTATCAAAGCAACACCAAAATTAAAGTTACAAGATATGAAAATTTGTCTTTGAATTTATAAAATTGGATTCAAATAGGATATTAAACAGGCCCTAAAAGGCTTTAAAAAATGAGATATTTATTCAAAAACTTATTTTAACATGATGTATTATTATACAAAAACTCCTTTAAAAATTGGCATATGCAAGAGAAATTCTTCCAATACCCCCCCCCACTCAGATGAGAGAACCTTTGGTCATGTGGAGGAGAGAGAGAACAGAAACAAGGATGCATTGCTGCACCGTGACGCAGAGTTATGTTACATTCAAAGATTTACTATCACAGTTTCACTTGCTGCGCGATTTCTTCTTGTAATGGGAACATCGTATACACTAATTGCACGTGGCAATTTCCTTGAATGTAAAGTGATCTGGTAATTTTTCACGTTCTTTCAAAAAAAAAAAGTTAATTTAAAAATTCTCCGTGAGAGGCTGTGGACCATTTTTCATTGAAATCTATATAACTACGGCTCACCCACACAAGTCATAACTCACCAATGCTTTTGTTTATTTATTTTTACATATTTGAGAAAATAAGATAGAAAATTGGGGTCAAAACCCATTTAAGAAAATTTACGGGGTCATTCCGGAATATGGCAAACCTCTCAATTGATTTTTCGCCTCCTCGCAAAGCAAAGAGCAACCCAACTGAAGCCCGTATCATAACACAGAAAGGAGAGTGAGAAGCGAACTTGAAAATGGCGAGCAATCTCGCAAACAGAGCAGTAACGGATCGAACCATAAAACTATGGAGGCTCACATCGAGCTTCCTCAGAAGCTTCAGCACTGCTTCCGAAAACCCTACTGCTGCTTCTCCTTCTTCTTCGGTTTCGAAGAAACCCAAGCGCAAGAAGAAGAAGAACCTGTTTGAGGTGGCCCAGTTTTTGCCCAACTGGGGATTAGGGTACCAAATGGCTAAGACTCACTGGGTCGGCGTCTCTTACCAGATCACCAAAATCAATCTTTACAAGGTCTCTCTTTTAATTATTGCTGGCTTTCTAATTTTTCTTTATTGTTGGTTTTTGCTCGTTTAGTTACTAAGAAAATGTGGGACTGATTAAAAATTTGGGCTTTTGTGCCTCTAAGCTTTCTGCTTTTGCATTTGATTGCTCGTAATTAGATGTGAGAATGTTCATTCAATTCGCCTTATTATTGTTATGGGTTCAATGGTTTAGGGTTTATGCTTTTTTTTTTAAAAAAAATTTGGCAGGACGGTAGGCATGGCAAAGCATGGGGCATCGTTCATAAGGAAGGTCAGTGATGGGTTTTATATTTCATGGAAGTGACATTTTTTTTTTTCAATTGAAGTTTTTATTTGTATCTCTAATACTTGCCATTATGACTATATAAAGGATTATACCTTTTCTTTCTTTCGTTTGAAAGAAAAATGTTACAAGGGTTTTATCACTTACTTTTTAGCTGCGTCTGGCTAAATAAGTGACTCAAGTATATCATAGTTTACCAGTTGAACATGTGTGCTTGCGAAGTATTGAGGTTTACTGAATTGGGCTTACTAATCTGATCAATATTTGTGTTCTGTTTGTGGTTGATATCATCGATTCAATGCTATGCATCATGTATGCTCAATCTGTATACCTGGTTTTGGCTGCATTCTGTTGTTCAATATCTGATAACTCTTGTCTTTTTAACTTCAATTGAAAATAAAGTGTCCTGACTCCTAAATGGTTGGGAAATAATGCATCATTTAGTTCAAAGAACTGCCAAGGGAACTAGTTGGCATTGTTACATAAGAGACTGAACATGCACTTCCCTGGCCACAGCATTTGTATTTGTGACTGAACATGCATCCTGATCTCAATTACAAGTGAGAAATATGTGCTTCGTAAGTGACATTGGCCCCCTCCACATATGCGATTGCATAATCAAATGTAATGCATGAGCACCTACATACATGAATAAGAGGTTCATTTTTGTTATAGAGACTTGATTCAGTGTTTGTCTGTCATTCATGCTTAGGAATGGCTAATTCATTAGAGTTCTGTGTTGACTTGTAGTTGTGATAGTAAGAATTGCTAAAATAATACGTGGTCATTTTTCGGATTAGGTTTATCTATTTTTAAGTTATTCTCTTTTATATGGAAGTTGATATAGTAGAATTTGTTGCAGGCTTGCCAGCTGCAGATGCTCCCAAGAAAATAAGTGGAGTCCACAAGCGTGGTTGGAGGTACATTCCAAACTCAAAGTCGCCTGAAGGTGTTCCAAGTGTGACTAAGCCTACAGAAAGTGCTCCAGCAGCTGAAGTTCAAGCAGCTTGATGCGTTTCCTCCATTTTTTGGGAAGATGTAGTCTGATCTGTCATACTAGGATGTTCTTTTTGAGTTAATTGGTTGTATCCTCCATCGTTATAACTTTTGGTTAGATATGGTAATTTTTTTTCTTTCTTCAGTTTAGTATATTTAACGCTCCACTGTAACATCCTTCCTTGTGCATTGAAGCTAGAATAAGCTTACGGCAATGCGAATTGGAAATGTTTTATCAGAAAGAAGGATTGAGCACATTGGTGTCTGTTTTTTATTTATCAATATTTCTGACGTTGGCTCTGGTGCCTGGTTCTGTTTCTTCTTATGGCATGAATGCTGTCGGGATGGTGTCTGATTATCTTTTAGAACATAATATTTTTTCCAAGTTGCTATATTGATGTTGAATGATGGATGTAAGTGGAAGGGAATAATATTTGCATCTTTGCTACTATCATGTGGCACTATAATTTGTTATCAATCACAATTGATGAGAAATTCTTACATGCAGGGTGTTATTAACCTTTTCTTTTACGTTGAAAATACTATCATGTCATGCTCTCTGGAAATCATCTTTCTCAGGCTTGAAGCAGTGGTAAGGTGTTTGATTCTACCTACTCTTTGCTAGTGCTTATCTGCCAAGCATGTGACAAGATTTTCCTTGTGCGTCCCAAGCAATGGCCAGTATAAAATTGGATCATCAAAGTACTGATCATGTCATGCTATCTTGGAATCCTGGAAATGTCAGCATTCACGGGCTTGGATTGGATCAATGGACACGATGACTGTGGCCTCAGGATGTTGCTGATTTGGGTTTTATACGCTTTGCTTGTTTTGACTGGAAACTATAAGCATATTTTGATGGAATATACCCTAAAGATACATTTTTTTTTTAAAATACAAGCGATAGTCTAATCTAGATAAGGAGGGGGGGTTTCTCACACACACTATTAAGGTGTCATGGATGTTCGAACTTGAGACGCAAGTAAATGTCATTTTCCATTGGGCTACTGTGTTGGCATACCCTATACATTACCTTGCAACATAACCTTTTATGACAAAACAAAAAAGAAAAAGAGAAGAAAGAAAAATGTATCCTTTGGTTAGGGATAATGCTTCTGCTGTGTGTATAGAAAGAAAAAGAAACTAGAAGACATAATATGTTGTGATCGCAATGCATTTTAGCTAGTTCCAACCAAATCTGTATATATATAGCTTGTGCCCACTTTTAACATGGGTTAGTGATTTTTATTATTTTATCAAGGGACAAAAACAAGGGGAGAAGTGTACAAGGAGAAAATGGTTAAATTGGGCACATCAATAAGCTCTCTTTGGGATATAAACAGATTTAGTTGGAACCCGTAAAAGCTTAAACAGTGACCACCCTATGTCTATGAATCTATGATGCAAATTTCCATGCCAAGCTATCTAAAGCAAATTTGTTAATTTGGTAAGTGAAAAGTATAGTCAATATAGAATTACTTATAAGCAAACAACTCATTTGACGTAACAAAATATCAGAAAGTTTTCTATTATACAAATAACACCTGCCTTATTTTCATAAGCAATGAAACCCAATGAAAATCAAATTAATATAGAAAAAAAAAAAACAAAGGGTAAGAAAACCCCTACACCCTTGATCTTTACTTGCGTCGCTTTCTCTATCTCTGTCTTTGATGTGAGTGTCCCACAACTGGTAGCCATAAAATATATGTGTTGAGTGCAGTCTGCCCCACCAGCCTCCTCATAATTCGCCTTGGCTTGGCCCCGGGGCTCTCTCTAGTCTTCTCTTTCGTGTTCTTTTTCTTTCATTTCAACAACATTGCTCGAAACTGACACACAAACAAAGACAGTGATCGAGGGAGACACAGAGAGAGGAGAGAGAAGAGAGATAGACATTGATATTTGATAAAGAGAGAAAACTAACGCCACCTACTCCACAACCCCACCATGTTTGCTGTTCCTAAACACACCCTTCAACCCCAAAGACCGCAACTTTAATACTTTCCTCCACTATTTCATGACATTTCTGTTTCTGGGTTTCTCAAATGTCAGCTGCTGCTCAGGCTACCCATTACCGCCATTCGGTCAGCGGAGGCAGTGACGTGTCAGTCTCCGATGACTCGGACGACCAGTCTTGGCACTCCGTGCTTGAGTCCACCGCAGGAGGAGGAGGAGGGCCTCAGTCTCAGCTTTCTGGGGTGTCTGTTTCAGTTAATGTTCAGAGGGACTCTTGTGATTCCAATTGCTCTCTGGAGGTGGATTTGGAGAGTGGGGTTTTGGAGTTGAAGGTGGTGCATTTGAGTAAAGTTGAAAGAATTTGCAGAATTTGCCACCTGGGTTTGGAGGGTGGTGGCCCAGATGGGATCCCAATTGACTTGGGTTGCTCTTGCAAGGGTGATTTGGGTGCTGCTCATAAGCAATGTGCTGAGACTTGGTTCAAGATCAAGGGTGATACGTGAGTACAAACTTTTTCTCATGTTAAATTAGTAAGCTTGTGAGGAATTCTGAATTCCGTTCCTTATTTTCTTTGGTTTTTGGTGTTTTTGTTAGAAATTCTAAACACCCATTTGCTGGATTCTGGATGTTTCTCTCTTTTGGTTTGAGTGTTTAATGTTCCTCCCAAATGCACCTTATGGAATAAATCAGCTTGTTTGCGTTGAAATTTTACTTTTTAAGACCAAAAACAACTAAGTTGTCCTTTCCCCGTCCCCCCTCTATTTTCACCGGTCTCTGCATTGAAGTGCAAGCACATGGATGCAAATAGTTTCTCTAGAGGCAATCTCTCACTTTTAAGGTGGTTTTACTTCAAACTATGATCATTCTATAAGCATCCTTAGTTTTGTTGAATAATACAACAGATTAGCATCTTGGCAGTACATAGCTTCCTGCTTCTCTGAGGTCAGCTTTTTGAAATGCATACTAGCCAAGTAGCTTCTTTTCCTTCATCTAATAGTCACCTTTGTTTTTGTTGTTTTGCTTCTTATTGGCAAGCTGAATGAGACGGATCACATGTAGAATAGAAGGCATATATTAAATATATAGAAGAAGAACAAATCTTGTAGTCGCCAGTTGAACGATCCGTTGAATCCCAAGTATATGTATCATTATTGGTTTAGAATTTTTATATCACGTTTTCTGTAGCATTAATAGTAGTGGAGAGTATGTGCCAGAATTGAGTTCCAATGGTCAAGCATTCTTAGCAAAGATGCGCTTGTAAATTACTGCAGCACACAGAATTTCTATTCCTATGTTTAGAAGTGGATATCTTCCCCCATGCGTTTGGTTATGTATGCTGCTAATTAAGATCTAAATGTTTAAAAAAATCATGCCTAGGGTTCAGTAAAAGATGATATTAGCGTTTGTGTAAAACCAATTGAGAACTTTGGCCGTCACAAGTTGAGTTTCTTTATGACATATGATATAAGAGATAAATATATGTGGGTTTTCCTGTTATCCTTTCTATTTATTTTATAACTCCAAAGTTGATAGTTCGGGGAAACCAAACTGAACAGACTGACATAATGTACTGTTGACAAACAAGATGCAATATTTATCTAGGGTGTGGAGTTAATGGATGCAAATGAAACATCCAAGTTTTATGAGGAAACATAATTTACATAAGCTGCATCACATGATATCACAAGAAGGTACTATAGGTGGATTGGTAAGGCATGCTAGTTCTATTCTGATTTTAGTCATCCTTGTAAGCAAATGGAACGGCATATTGATGACGGGACTTTTTCCATGGACAGAAATAAAAGATTCCTAGCCAGATAGTTTTCAATTACTTAAGCATTCTCTTCTATATTCTTGATATATGTGTTCTGCTGGTTATAAAATTGACTGTGGCCTGTGTTTGTGCACAAGCCCCATAATACATTTCTCCTTATCTTTGTTTGTCTGGGTGACATGTTCTTTGCTGTCTGTGTATATTTCTTCTTAAGTTTTGATATTTATTGAACTGAAAAAATGGATAAGAAGAAAGTAATTGAAGCTGCCTTCTATCCGATAATACTTGCTTTCCTACATCTGGTCTTGTGTTTGCTCGAAGTTTCATAGTTAAGATGATTGGATAAATTGCCAATTCAATTCGTGTACTAGGTAGCTTTTGGTCTGTTGTTAACAAACATAGTTTTATTTATTTATTTTGCAGAACCTGCGAGATCTGTGGCTCCACTGCATTCAACATTGCCACTGAGCAGACAAATGAGGCAAATGGCACTACTACCACACTCCCATCAGTACCAGCAGCACCCATGATCCTGGTGGAAACCAGAACCATGTGGCATGGCCGCCGCATTATGAATTTCCTACTTGCCTGCATGATCTTTGCCTTTGTAATCTCATGGCTTTTTCACTTCAAAGTGCTTTAATGAACACAAGCAGGGAAAAGATATGTAAATGTGTGGCAGCGGTAAGTTGCAGTTCCAATTCTTATTGTGCTTGTACTGCTACTTGTCTGTGCCCGGTCCTACTTGGCCCTACATTCTTGTTTGAGGCTTAGTTCCAAACTTGTATGCTCTCTGTCATCTGTAATATAAAAGGTGCTACCTGGCTATCTATAACAAGTTATATTATTTTTGGATAAGTGAGTAAGATCCTGTTTTCCATCTGCAATCTCCATTGTGAACTCAGGGAATATTGTCTGGCTAATATTTTGTGAATGTAAGTCATATCTGTTTAGGTACGGACTCATCTGTATGGAAAAATTTCGCAGAGATGCTCATAATGCCCTAGTACCAATAAGTCATGACGCCTGCGAATGAAAGGCTGTTATCTGATATGGCTTCTTCATTCATTGAAAAGGTTAATTACAGTGTCTAGTTTCTTAATGTTCCTTGTAATACGCACGTTACCAGCATGAATGCCATCGATTCAAAATTTTCGGTTCATTCAAATGCTTTGGCTACCTTCAACTGTTTGAGATTGATAATTTCATGTTTGAAGTATTATATGTTTCACCTTGTGTTTATCATTTCTGCACAAGTCTTTGTTCATGCATTTTTGAATTCATCTTTTGTTGGATTATATATGAATTTTCATTAAAAGGTGAGGTTAGAGAAGATCAAAATATCACTTTCAGTTAGATGGATTAGAAACTTCAAGGCTGTTCTACAAACTGTTATTCCTAACAAAATGACAAGGAACATTAGAAAGTTTTTCTCTGGAGTGCAATTGAAGCAGACTTTTGGGGTAGGTAACTACTTGACCTTAGACTTTTGGTGTAGGCATCCCAATTTTTGTTTTTCTAACTTTTGATATTTCTTTCACAGCAAATTTTCATGCTCTCCACTCTCTGCATCATCCTTTTTTTCTTTTTCTTTTTTTTTCGGTTACATGGAGGGCCGAAAGAAATTCATAGAAAATTCCAATGTTGGAACCAATTGAAGGAATTAAAAACAAAATTTGTTTATACTCTAAACTAGAAATATGCAAAACATAACTAATACTTGACTTTACAAGTAATTATATCCCTAAATTAGACATATGCAAAATTTAATTTAATTTTTCATACAAGTGATATTGAAGAATGTGAGAAGCGAACATGGAATACGAATGTTTCTGGAGACCCAGGACTCGAAGGCCAGACTAACAGGAGAGTCCTGAAGAGGGAGCCCAGCTCAGTTTCGAATCCCCTCTGAAGTGGAGAGTGGTATGCTTTTATAGGTGAGAGGGAGTCTTCACTTCTTGTAGATTTCCGATGTGGGACTCCTCTTGCTTTGCTTAGAGTTTCTTCTAGTTGCTTGGTCAGTTATGGTGTCAACAAATGTAAAAATCAGGCATTCAAGTATGATTAGGAAAATTCATCTCTCTCCATAGCAACGTGACATTTGATAATTTAATTATCTTGACATTAGCGAAAAGGTAATCTTACTTTAACAAAAAATTAAAAAAGGCTGCTTTTCTTTTTGTAAAGTTATAAAAAATTTATCTGGTCCTGCCCACCTTAGGGCCTTTGTGAAATTATCCACTACTTCAGTACCAAACATAAAAAGAGTGGGGCAGTAATCCGCTGTTTTTCGGGCTTTACACAACATAACTGGTTTGCGCTCCCGTCTATCTCATATACACCCCAGATTCGCTCCTAAAACCCTAAATCGTGCATATACCCCGGTAAGATTTTCATTTTTCCTGCTTTGCCTACAAATCGGATTCTTCAAAATCCTCCACATCTAGAGCTACCAATCAGCCAACTTTGAATTCCATCTCACTGAGTAAGACTCCTGAAATCCTCTCCGCTAATTTTTCCCATTTTGGTTTTGGTTTTGAAGGAATCTGTGTTAAGTTATTTGGGGTTTTCAGGGTCCAATGGCTGCTGCTCCTAACAATGCGCCGACGGCTGTGGACAAGGAACAGGTAAGCACCCTTGGCTTCATTGTCTTTTAGTTTCTACCTATTGGACAGTGTCAAGCAATTGAATTATTAGATTGAAATTTTATTTGTGCCAAAGATCGGATTTTGGGGCAAGTTTTGGGATTTCATGGATCAGATGCTAAATGGGTATTTAGAACTTGCATCTTCTGTAAACTTGGGTGTAACCAAATTTGGTCATGGTCTGTAAATGGTCAATGATGGCAGGTTTAGCCTTAGTGAAACCAAGGCATTTCCTGGGAGTTGGGAAGCAACAACGTTGTTCATTTTTATGGATTAACAATCTTTTTCTTATGAATTATTGTCCAAAAAGTGGTAAGAGTGGTGCTTTTGAAATAATCTTGACGTTTTGGAATGACTTGAAGTTTGTTTTTCACAAATTTTGCAGATTTTTGGTATGGCAGAGAAGGAGATGGAGTACAGGGTTGAGTTGTTTAACAAGTAAGTTCTCCGTGTGGTGTTGTTAGATGTCACGGTATACCAATGTGGTTTTTTAAGGAATGTGGGGTTTTTGCAAGGCTTATTATCTGAATTCTTCAAGCTCAGCTCCTGTAGTTAGAGCAATTCTTTGCGCTTGCCTGCTTCACTTCTATTTTCATACTTCGCGAGCATATACGGTGGTGCACAAAAGAAAAAAAAAAGCTTATGATTGATACTTCCAAAGCTACCTGACTTGTTAGTGTTGTTGTGTAATTCTGCGAGCATTATAGTAACCTTGTGTTATACACTTAGCTTAGCACATCTATTTAGGTTGTGAATGTAAATTTGGTATATGCAATTTTCCATCTCTAATACTTTAGCTGTTGTGGTTATCCAGTTTTCATTAATGATTTTGATTGTTTTTTTTTTCATATTCAGGCTTACCCACACATGTTTCAACAAGTGCGTTGAGAAGAAGTATGAGAACTCTTTTCTTTTCTCTTTTTATGTTCTATGGACCTGTATGAAAGATGTGTGGCATTTTACTTTTAGGTCATTTTATTGTTAATACTGGAGTTAGTGAATTTGAATTTGTCAAATCATCCAGGTACAAGGAGGCTGAGTTAAATATGGGTGAAAACAGTTGCATTGATCGCTGTGTCTCAAAATACTGGCATGTAAGTTATCAATCTGTTGTCTTATGAATTTGGTGCTATGGTTTCCTTGTTCTTTCAGTCATTTGATTTCTTACGTCTATTTTAATGTCTTATCTATTGTCAGTGAAGTTCTCTAAATAATTTCTTTGGTCAAATTTTAAAACTACTGGGATAGCAATTTTCTTTTACAGTAATTTTTTTTATATAAGTTAAGTTGTGCCCTTTATCAAGTGATGCTTTTGGTTGAATGAATAAAAATTAATAAATCTTGCGTATATTACTTCATAAACAATTTTGCTACTGCTGAAACTATAATTGTGCGAATGGTGTTTTTTATTTATAATAATTTTAGAAATGGTGGTATTATTATATAAATATTTTAATGTGCATATATTTGAATTTTTTGTTGTTTGCAGGTAACAAATCTAGTTGGACAGCTGCTTGGTGCTGGTCGGCCTCCAATGTAAAACTTATGCCTCATCTGATTTGGGATTTACAGTGCTTGGCTGGGTGGGGTGATGTGGAGATTGTAATTGTTCACATTGTTATGCCTTTTTGTTTTTTAACAAATTGTCATAAGCTGGTTCCATTTTGTGGTCAAAGAAAGAAATAGGGACAGTTTAACATATGCCGCACTAGGTTCATAATAGAATTGGGCATCCATAATGAGGATTTTTTTTCAAATTTTCTGTTGAATAACTGCCATTGTTTTTAATTGTTTGGTTACAGCATAAAATGTTAGGGTACTTCTACCTTTTCGGCAGCATTGTGAACTGAAAGGAGCGATAAGGGTTTTTCTGGTTTATTAATATACTTGCTGCATTGTTTGAGTTCACTTCCTCCCCTTAATGAATGATGTACTAGTACCAAGTTATGTTTGTCCCTGCTATTCGTTCCGACGATCTCGTATGCATGATAGAGTCAATCAAATTATACTTGCTATTGCCATTTCTAAGTGCGTTTTACATTAAGACGGACGAAAGAAAATCTAATCATGGCTGCCTGAACATAGCACAGGACACAAACGAACATAAGAAAATCTAACAAAAACGTGCATTAGATATCTTTCAAACTATTATATATTCATGTTTATAATGGTTACAGTCGCTGTTGTAGGCGTTGATCTATGGGTCAAATCTCCTAACTTGGGCCAACATGGTAACACTTGCTATCAAATATACCTGTTAACGCTTTGAGGAAGCTCAGTGGGGTGATGACACTGATGAGCAGAGGAGAGAGAATTTTAGGAAGAGGATGAGAAGAAAACGCCTTAGGGGTGATGTTAATCCTGTGCTTCCTATTTTGGTTCCCAATCTCTTGTTGCTTTCTCTTCTGTTTTGGAACCCATTTCCTTAAATTAAGTGGTTCCTGTTGTTAACATCTTATCCTACTGTTCTTGTATCTGGGTCTTTGAGAAATCTCTGTTTTCTTAAAACAGTATAGCTATTTAAATATTCGAATACATTTAAAACGTACAACCACGCGGCCATACTTTTTAAACAATATAGCCCTAAGTCTCTTTTCCTCTCCCACCTTATTCTCTTCTTCCTTTGAAAAATAAGAAATTAAAAAAAATTTGCATCCTTTGCCCATTCCTGGTTTGGAGTGGTCTTATAGCATAGAAATCCTAAGTACCCTATTCCAGGCAATTTAAGCACCCTTTTTTTAATATTAATTTTTCTTTATCATGCTTTCCCAATGCATTAATTCTCTGTATATTCATATGAGGTTGTACTTTGAAAGATATCTTATGCACGTTTTTGTTAGATTTTCTTATGTTCCAAATGGCCCTAAATCTGTCGCTGTATTTCCTTCAATCGAAGACCCTAGTTACGAAATAAACTATCCCATCGAACCACTCATCTACTACATTTTCAATATGTTTGTTGATGTCGATGTCAAGCAGCAGCAGTAGTTTATTAATTGAGCTGAAACTCAAACCTAAAGGTGTTTATTTTGTTACAACATTCTTAAGATTTTGTTACACTTTCATATTTTATGTTTCCTTGACTTCCAAGGATGAGCCATCTTTTAAGGTTTGCTCAGCATCATTATTCAATCCTAGGCTCTTCAGGGCAGCCGCTTGGAGATAGAAGGCAGTTGGCCATTCAGGGTGTTGTACAAGAGCCTGCATAGCATCTCCAAGAGCTTCTTGTGCCATATCACTCATCAAGTAACACAAGCACCGTCTAGCAAACAACGTTCCTGATTCAATGCTCCCACGATCAATGAACTGCAACGAGAAGGAAGAAAGGAAATCCGGCTCGGAGTAAGATGATAAGCATATGAAATCATGTGTGGAAACTCGTAACTTTTTGTTTGCAGAACAGAAAACTTCAATTCTTGTAACCCCGACACTAATCATATAGTCTAATATGATTCTATAACTAGATGAAGGAGCAAATTACATCGTGTAAGTGGTGATTTTGATGACACAACGATGACGAACAAATTTTGTAGTTCTAAATTAGTGAGTATTTTTTACCCCAAAAAAAAAATTAGTGAGTACCGACTTACTTCTGTGTAAAATTCTATGGCACTAGCAAATTCTTTTGCTCGAAATGCAGCATCCCCATGTTTCTTAAAGTTCAATCTTTCCTGCATTTGGTCTGTCCACATTTGGAAAGAAAGCTGCCAGGTAACTCCAAAGTAAGGGCAGTGCATTAAACAAATTCAACACAAAAAGTTTACTCATAAATGTAAAAGAATAAAATTTGCTAGGAAACAGAGAGAACAAGTTTTTTTTTTCCTCTTTTGTTTCTCCCTTGGAAGATGTCACAAAATATACAATACGGAAAAATCAGAAATGAGGATCACTAACTTCAGTTTGAGCCCCCTCATCTTCCTTGTATCCAATCATCAGCAATATTTCATGTATTCTAGCAAGATCTAATCTCGAGCAAGCTTCACCTAGAGGTGACAACACTGTCTGCTTTGGAGGAATATTTCCATGTGGAAAACCCATCAAAACGTATGATGGAACCTGCTACGAACCACTATGTGTGATGAATAATACCTTCATGGCTTTCTATTGCAGAAGTAATGCAACTCAAATTTCGAAAATATAAATCAATTTTTGGTTACGATGGAAGAGAATTGAACCATTGACATAGCTTAATTGTAACCAATTTCCCGCTTAGCCTAAAACAAATCAAATTTCAAAGCATATAACAAATAAAGATGGGCATACCTCAGTTTTTTCTTGAAGAGGAAAAAGTGCGGACACAATGTACTTAAAATCTGGCCTGTTATGAGGTTCGTACTGCAAACATTGTGAAGCTAACCGCACCATCTCATTACCGTCGTCATTTGAGAAATGACCTTCCAAGCATGAGTCCATCAGCATCAAAAAATTCTTGTCACGTATGAGGTCAAGCGCCTTGTAGAAAGAAAATTAAACATTACTTAGCTAGAAGCTTAACCAGAAGCCACAATTGGCAACCAATTACTTAATCAGGAAATGCTGAGAATGAGACACAATCAGATAGCCTTAACTTAGAGCACCTTTATAAACACAAGTTACATATATAGACCATAAGATGTCAAGCAAAATATCAGGTCAACAATGCATCTCAATCGAACATACGAAGGGAAAGTTACATGGCTTGGAGGGATATGTCTGCCACTGAGCAGATTGAGCAACAGGGTCCCAAAACTGTAAACCAAACTTTCTGGTATCACTCTTCCTGCATGCCAAACAGAAAGATGTACAATTAGCTCAACTCAATACTATTGATCGTGTAGATCAACATGTCGAAAGTTCATGCATGACAAGTATAAGATTGAATTAGAAAACTGTTTTTCCATTTGCTGAAGCAGTGATGGTATGAGTTACCTGTCCTCAAGAACTCTGGAGGGGTGAAAGCCAAGTTGGTAAAGCTCTCGCCATCTTTACTATTCTTCATAAGGCCAAAGCAAGAGAGTCTGGGATTTCCATCCTGTCAATCAAGTGCTGGCTCAATGTAAGGTCCAAAAAAGGATTAACAAATTTTGTTGAAATGAAAGGGTATAAGAGTCCAATTAATTACCTGATCTAACAGGACTCTATGAGCATTGAGATCATGGTACAATGCCTGCCCTTTGCTGCTGCAATACTCTAAAGCTTGGGCCACAAACAATTGCCCATTTCATCGGTTGAGTCTCCCCTACACCAATTTGTACCAATTTCATCCTATAATTACCTCAATATCTTTTTTTTGGTCAAGTACCTCAATATCAATACCAACAGAAAAACAAAATAATATTATCTTCTCTTGATCTGTTTCCTCAAACTTAACAAACCAGAGGGTTGTCAAAACCCATTTTCATAAACACGTACCATCACACCACTCACACCGAAATAAGACAAAGCAAAATAAGTTTAGTTGAAGATTTGGGGGGAACTTACACTGGAAAAGGTGCTTGAAGAGAGTTTCATTTGGCATGAACTCAGCCACAAGCAATCTCTTATCATCCTCAATGCAACACCCAATCAAATTCGCCAAACGCTCGTTGCTTAGCCTCCCCACAGCTCTAGCTTCCTCCTATAAGAGAGATAACCAAATGTTCGGTTCATTTTTACACATGATTTTTCATGTTATTCACCTATTATTTTGAGTTAGTTCTTGACATTTTATAGCTTTTTACTTCCTTTTTGTGTTTTCTTAGATTTTACCTTGGTTAGAATGAAAATGAGCTAAAAATGCATTATTGGTTATAAATTCTGTTTTTGTTCATTTTCGTAGGTCAACTTCTTGGCCTGGGATCAACATGCTCTGGTGCTCGGATGAGGTGAAGATATTCATGAAACTTGTTCCAATGGATGTTGACTACAACATATCCAAATTTGAGCTAAGGGGACAAGGGCAAAGGCTTTAACTAAAGCATGAGTTTTATATTATTTCTTTGAGCTGGAATTGATGGGCAAAAGGCATATGGGAGGCAATCTGAAGTGGGAGAGCTTCTTGAACGTGGAAAATGAATTCATTCTATTATTCTACACATTGGGAGCAGATTTTGGAGAGCTTGGAGCTAGGAAAAAGCCAAGGTGCAGCCAAGCAAAGTGGAGAAGAAAGCTTCCACCATTGA